ATATATATATATACAGAGAGAGAGAGATACATATACTGAGTGTGTGTGTCTCTCTCTCACTCACACACACACAACAAAAAAAATATATATATATGTGTCTCACACATATATAAAGTTATTAGTTCACACACACATATATATATATATATATATATATATATACACATCCCACATATTTTTTAAAAAAATGTTTTTAGCAGAAAAATATTTATTATAATTGTTGGTTTCGTGAATGTTTGAGATTGGGACATGCCATTATTTTGAATGTATATCTAGCTCTGTTTATATAGGTAGTAATTAACTTCACAGGAGACTGAAATGGTATCATGATGTCTTTGCCTACCCCTTTCTTCCAAACAGAATCAGACTGCCTTTGTTTTCTTGTTCTCTATTTCTTCCAGGCTTGATACAATATAATGTGTGTGTATGTATGTGTGTGTGTATATATATATATATGTTTGTTTATTTATGTATCTTGTTCTCTATTCCATTGACGTTGCATGCTCGTTCACTGTACTTCTTCATATACTCATGAGGAGCAGTGAGTTACACTCAAATATACATATATATATATATATGCATATATAAACTAATAACTTTAAATTTAAGTTAATATTAATAATTTTAAATTAACTAATAACTTTAAATTTAATATTTTAAAATTAATTAGTACTGGGTAAATAGTTTTGAAATTAATAATTAAAAAAGTGAAAAATTACAGATAACAGTAGAAGTCCTAATCACTACATACCACAGGGGGAAAACTTGCCCTGTCATTTCAACTCAGACATTACTTAACATGAATTACCTTTTTCCACCAAGAAAAGTTTCATTTGTCCCCATATTGGAATATTTCATTAAACCAAAGTTATACATACATATATACGTATATTAAAAATTATAATCTATATAGAATTTTCTTTTTATAATCTTATCTGGGTAATCTTTATATATATATATATATAAATATATATTTATATTGCATTGACTAGTCTGAAAGGTCCAATACAAGTGAAAAAGCTGATCACCCTACCATTATATGTCCATCAAGTACTGGTCTTGCACTTATATATATAGCAGCTTTTTAAAACACACATACAGACAAGATCAAAACTAGAATTAAAATTATCTTTTTTAATTAATTAATTCAAATTATTATAGAATATATATATATATATATATAAAAAACACTAGTACTAGCTGCTTCCAATTACTCTTCAGGCAATTGAGATCTTTCTCATCAGAATCCAGACAAATAGCTACTACAGCACATGACAAAAACAAGAGTAATTATTAATTAATTAAGTTAATTAATTTATTTAATTAGGAGTTAATTAAGGGAAAAGGACAGTTGAGTTAGTTGGAAGGGTTGACTGGGAAGAGTTGAAGGGTTTCGAGAGGTGGTCTGGTGGAGGAGGAGGCGGCGGAGGAAAGTCCTGGTGGTGGTGCAAGTGCTGGATCCACATGATCCATCATCGTCCAATCACAGCCATTCATTCTCATCATTGATGTCTTTTCCATCATCTGATCAACTGCTGACTTGTCTGGAATCTTGTCTACCATCCACATGTGACTCATCATCTGTTTATGATTATCTTCACGATCAGCTCCAGAACCCTAATCCAGAATTAGTTACATAAGTACAAAATTAATTGCCTAATTTATTATTGAAGGATATATATATATATATATCTCTGCAATATGATAATTAACAGTAAGTAATTACATTCACGTATAAAGAAGTAGTGAAAGAGAAAAAAAAAAAATTGGATGGGTTTGGAAAGTCACTTCAACATATACTACTTGGAAGTGCACGTATACCATATGTGTATATATATATATATATATATATATATATTATACACATTTTTAAACATAAAAATTTAGATTTATAAATGATTTTAAATTTTTATGGAACATATTTGCTCCAAATACATATAGTTCTTAAGGATATATATACATGAAAAGGTTTTACCATAATTTTGAGTTAATTAATTGGAAATTAGCCTAAGCAATTAAAATTAAGCAATATTCTTCCAATATCCCATGTATTAATCTAGCTAGGTGAACATATATTTACACGCGCACACACACACACAGCAACTTATATCTAACCTATAAAAATCAGAAAGGAAACATGGGATCTACCCGTATGTGTATATATATATATATATATAATTCCATAGTCTTAAATGTGTATATATAATAAGATACCATATTACTAACCGAAGACAATTGGAGAAAATCACTTAGAAGCTTGGATATGAAGATACATGCATATATACATACATACATACATACATACGTACATATATATAGATAGATAGATAGATAGATTGGATACTACCTGGTGAGGAAGAAAGTTATAAGGCGCAGCAGCTGAAGATAAGTTAACATTACAGCAAGAAAGTTGGTTCTGAAAAGCAGAAGTTGACCCAGAAGCAGACGCTGGAGACTGAAGGACACCAAATAAGTAATTATTACCGAGGTGACAGCCATGCTTGGCTTGATTTTGCTGCAGAATATATTGATGATGGAGCAGTTGTTGTTGAAGAAGAAGCTGTTTAGCAAGCTTCCTTCTCATCTTCTGTCTGTCCCGAGCCTTATGGTTCTGAAACCAGTAAAACACATTCTTCCCTTCAATCTTTCCGTAGCTGGAGAGATGAGAAGTTATTTGTTGGATTTGAGAAGCATTAGGAGTCCTGATCCCACTCCTGTACATCTCCTCCAATATCATCACCTGCTCTGGAGTCGGACACCACCTTGAAGAACCTGAAGGAGACATTATATATTATATATCATATATTATCTGTTATACAAACTTCTTGGGTGATTATATATATAGAACTGCTTACTGGGTTATACTTATCTATACGTATATGTATTGACAAACGAGTAAAGAGACAGTGCTACCAAGTCGCAGTCTACACAGTTGGAGTATACATATACATAATATAATCAATATATATGGGGAGGAGAGAGAGATGAGATTAAGAGAGGGACAAAAAGGATGGAGAGAGAAAGGGGGGTTAATGGAGAGGAAAGTACAGGGGGAGGGTTGTCATGGTGATGTTTCCATGAGAGGGGCATTCAGTGAAGGTTTCAGTAGTTGCAGAGAGGGAGAGAGAGAGAGAGAGAGAGAGAGAGAGAGAGAGAGAATGAAAGGGAAAAAGTTGAATGATTATGTCATTATGATCACCTTATTTACTTCTTCTGTCAAACAGAATGAATAAGATGTAACAATACATATATGCATCGTAAAGTTCAAATTTCGATACATTTTTTATATGAAAATTTTTCTTATTAATATATACATTTAAGTGATATACATATCCACTAAATATAAAGTTATATAATTAATCTCCATGCAAAGATATATAAAAAAATACAATCTAATTCATAATTAAGATAAAATAATATGTTATAATTGTTGGTTGAGGAGAAGTTTTTTTTTTTTTTGTTGTTGGTGAACATTTGAGTCCATATGTATGTATGTATGTGTATATATATATATATATATATGTATATATTTATATACCCACATGCTGGATCTGTCTTGCAGGCAGGCATACATACATACAGGAACAAAAAAACTTATACTTTTCCAATTAAAATTTGAATTAATATTATGGGATGATTGAAATGGATTCTATCTCTTGTGGGAATTTTGATTTTTTTAGTAAATTACACTTACCCTTTTTTATTTTTATTTTTTAACAAAAAATCATCATCCCAATCATTCATTCACCACTGACATTTAAAATTATATACATATATATATATTAAATAATAAATATATATAAATAATATACTCTCTTAATAAAATGATGAAAAATTGAAGGCATAACCCATGATTTAAACTCAGAGTAATAAAAATGGACAAAAGTACTTACAATTCAGTTCAAAAATAATTTTGTACAACTGATTAAATTTGTATGGTAAATGTAAGGGTAGAATTTGAATGTATATATGTATATATGTGTCTGTATATATATATATATATATATGTATGTATATATTAGTTTAGAGGAGGGTGTAGGTAGGAGATACTTTTCCACGTGTGCATTGATGAGGAGCATGCAATTAGAGGCACATTTCTCAGTAAAAACATTATATGAAAAGGTACCTATTACCAATTAGCTTTTTTACCCAGGGAACAAGACATTACATCACAAGCCCGTTAGTTCCCTACCTATAGATCTATATATACACACACACACACACACATATATATATATATGTGTGTGTGTATTGGAAGGTAAAGATACAGATTATGAGTAATGTGTATTTATTTAATGAGATAAGAGTTTAATTTATTTATATATTAATAGGACTGCAATATTTAAGTTTTTAATAATTTGTTTAGTTTATAATTTTTGTATATTAATATTTTATTAAATTTCATAAGAATTTATGGTGATTAATGAAATGTTATTATAAAGTACAGAGAATGCAGATTGCAGAGCCTGTGGACCGTCTTTTTTGCCTTTTTGTTTGTCTCTTGTCGTCCTTTACCTATCTCTGTCGTACATTCCTCATACCTTTTGTCAACGTTCCTAATTAAATCCCAACCGTCCGTTACCAGTACTTTTTTTTTTTTAATACGTATATATGTATTACACTCTAGTAGTATTCCCCACCTTTACTTAATCACCGATCGACCTTTAACACGTCCATTTAAAAAATAAATAAATTGATTTTAATTTTAAAATTATTGATACTATAATTAGATTCTAAAATTTTTCATTGTTCAGTCCTCGTAATTTTTATTACATCTATGAAAATTTTAATAAAAAAAATTAGTATTTTTTTTTTCCATATTCAATTTTATATAGAATTTAAAAATTATAATAGTTGAAAATAAACTTTGATAAATTTAATAAGAATAATTAGTTTATTTTATTTAAATATAATAAAAGACATTAGAAGAAAAAAAATATGCATGCGATAATTATTTTTTTAGATTGTTTTAATTCATAGCTGAGTTTATATTAAATAAAAATACTATGTTAATTTTTTAGATATTATTATAAATTATATTTAATTATCACGTATTAATAAACTAATATTTAAGAATTGAATGATAAAAAATATGTTCGAATCAAATTAGAATATTTTCAAAATAAATTTTATACACTAGTATATATTTTGCTATTTGAACGATATAAATAAATTTAGATATGATAGAAATTATTAGTTTGTTGAATGATTAATTGCATGATAACAGCTAAATTATTTTTAATCAGAACGTTACATTTCAAAACATCAACAATAATTTAATTTAGCAGACAAATATATAAACCCTTAATTAACACTTCTATGGCACCAACAATACCTTACTGTGAGTCGATTTCTCTGCAAACACCTTTCTCTTGTGCTTGATACCAAAAGGAGTGACCTCACTATCACACACATCAGAACCATGCCAAACATGCCTTGGAAGATAACGTCGGAAATAAAAATATTCTGAGCTTAGATGAGGTTTTTCGAGTGCCTTAACATGTATAAAACCAGGCCGCCAGTCATCATCTCCGACTAGTTTCAAGTATAAGTAACAAACAGCTGATTCTAGGCACTGACCTTTAACTTCAAATTCATCCACCACACAAGCTTGAAATGGTTTTGTAGGTATGTCATTGAGGACAACAGGATCTAACGGATCCAATCTCCTTATCTTTTTCGAGTTCAAGTGTCTCACCAAGATGTCATTTGATTTTGTATCGCCAAATCTCAAGCTAACATGGTTTGAGGTATCAGCACCTTTAGTACATGTCGTTTGAACAGTAATTGTGTATGTACAATTCTCCTGCAACAATAAAATTAAAGATGAATTTGGTATTATATATTTAATCAATATTTACAGTAATTAAGATATATATATATATATATTATTTCAACTAATACGTTTGAAATAATAAAATATTCTAAATTAGTGAAGGTTATAATCAAAACTAAGATAAAGTGAAAGGTTCATTACCTTGATCTTTTGCTGTGTGATACTTTCACCTCCTACAAGTAAAGCAAGTAAAAACACTGAAAACACAAAGATCAATCCTCTGCAACTCTCCAATATTCCCATTGTTCTTGTCAAGCTCCCAATGAAGTCTGATTGATGTTCTGCCATTTACCCAATTTATAGGCATGGATGATTCATTCTTTTCTTCAGTTACTTAAAAAGTTACTATATACTCCTATGGGGTTTTGTAAGTGGTACATACATACACCCCACTATATATAAAATATGAATAAGGGCTTCCTTAGCTTTTACTTATGCTCTCCTTTACATTATTGAATAATTGATTAATTAATTTGTCTTCGTTAGGGTAAAAGAATCTTTATTAATGTTCTTAACCTTTTTTCTCTTGGAAACTAAAGATAGATTCTATATGTATTACATATATATATATATATATATGTTTTTAATTGAAGATAGATTATACTTGTATATTAATAAAAAATAATCTTTTAGCCATGACCATTCGTCAAGATGGGCTGGGCCTTGGTCCAGGTCTGAGATGGGCTGGGCCTTGGTCAAGCTCTGAGGTGGCTGGGCCTTGGTCAAGCTCTGAGATGGGCTGGGCCTTGGTCAAGCTCTGGGGTGGGCTGGGCCTTGGTCAAGCTCTGAGGTGGGCTGGGCCTTGGTTGTGCCCCCTCCATAGGTCAAGCCCACTGGTAGACTGAACTGCCCTAGCAGGGTCCAAGGTAACAGAAACTGGATGGAGAAAAAGAAGAATACAAGTGTGAAATTTTGTGCTATTTGTCCAGTATTTACCAGGATATATAATAAATACTAACGAAATACTACTTGTGTATACTGTGTAATGACTTTCAGCATATATATATATATATATATATATAACACAAGCTTGGATGGACTTTCTCCTCACCAATAGATGGAAAAGGAGAGGCAAAGAGAGAGTAACTTTTTTTTCTTTGCTTAAATGGTTAGTTGGTAGTTGGTATGACTACATATTACACGTATATACATTACAAGCTTGAGAATTATATGACTGGTATCTCATTCCTGCATTGTAATCAACCGAAATACATATATGTTTATATATGTATGTTGTCTAGATCACTTTGTCGATAAGCTCCTTCCTGTTTGCTTGAAGAAAAATTGCTTCTACAGTAAAGCTATGATGACCTGTTGAGGTTGACAATCTGCTCATATTCACAGACATATATACATACAGACAGATAATATATGGGTTTATACAAAAAGAACGTCATTATATGTAGACACTATTATATGAATCAAGACTTACTTTACATAATACCCATATGTTGCTTTCAACATTGATAGTTAAATTATTTTTGCCTTCAAAATGTTAACAATGGTAATTATGTAAATAGTGACATGGGAACCAATGATAGGTATGGCTGCCAATCAATCTCTCATTTTCTTTCCTTTTTGCTGCCTTTTTTTCTCAGTTAAACAATAAGGTGGAGATATTATTAGAAGTGATAAGAAGTTAAATCATGAAATCACTTTACAATAAGGTCTAATTTTGATGATAATAAAAAATAAAAGGCTTAAGTTTGAGTTGAAGAGAAAGGAGGTCAAACAATTAAAGTTCATTATCTTTGCAATCACTCAAAAGTTGTTCTACACTACCAAACAGGTCAAATCACAGTAGCTATATGAACCAATTCTAATTTTCTCTTCACAAATTATGTAAATTCTATCACCTAAGCAAAACCCAGACACGCCTCATCCATCTATATATATTTACACTACATTGTAAGCTTCTGCAGTATATGTGCAGAAAAAATAAGTGCTTCAAGGCACCCAAGTAATTAAAATTCTTGACCATATAAATATAAGAAAGAAAACATACAGGGAGGTGAAAAATGGGAGCTTCTCTTCGTCCACGAAAAGCATTTTTCGGAGCTTGTCTACTCTTATTCATCAGCATATGCAGTCTTCTTCCGAACCCAGCACTTGGCATCACAAGGCATTACAAGTTTGATGTATGTATAGTACTATATATATACTACATATGTACATATAGTATCACCAACTCACTTTGCTTTGTATTGTTTTGACATTGTTTGAGATTTTCTCATTGTAGATCAAATTGCAAAATGTAACACGTCTTTGCCATACCAAGAGCCTTGTATTGGTAAATGGCAAGTTCCCAGGACCTCAGCTTGTAGCAAGGGAAGGTGACCGTCTACTTATTAAAGTTCTTAACCATGTCCCAAATAATATTTCCATCCACTGGTATGCTTAACATTCATGTACATCGGTTTGGAACTATTCTTTTTTTTTTTTTTTTCTCTTTTCTTATTTGAATTGATTATCTGTTTTTCATGCACATCCCTAATTTGAATTCTCCAAAACAGGCATGGGATTCGACAGCTTCGGAACAGGGTGGGCTGATGGACCAGCTTATGTGACTCAATGCCCCATACAAACTGGCCAGAGTTATGTGTATAACTACACCATTGTTGGCCAACGGGGCACTCTCTTCTGGCATGCTCACATTTCATGGCTAAGATCAACTCTCTATGGTCCCATAATTATCCTTCCCAAGCATGGTGTTCCTTACCCATTTACCAAACCTCACAAGGAAGTTCCTATAATTTTTGGTATAGTTCAGAACCAAAAAGGACTTGAATTTCCAATCATTTTAAGCTTACATGGTACAGAGAACATCAAGTGCTAATATACAACACAAATTTGAATTTCAGGAGAGTGGTTCAATGCAGATCCTGAGGCAATCATTAACCAGGCACTCCAAACAGGCGGAGGCCCAAATGTTTCTGATGCCTATACCATCAATGGACTACCAGGACCTTTGTACAACTGCTCTGCTAAAGGTATAGAAAATTAAGCAAAACTATCATCATGACAGTTCAATATTAGATTTGAAATTGAACAAATGGAGTCTACAAAGACCAGAAAGTTCATTTGATCTTATTTTGTGCTGATGGATATGGCAGATACATTTAAGCTGAAGGTAAAGCATGGCAAGACATACCTTCTACGCCTGATCAATGCTGCACTTAACGATGAGCTCTTCTTCAGCATTGCAAATCACACGCTAACAGTTGTTGAAGTGGATGCTGGCTATGTCAAACCATTTGAAACCAAAACAATTTTGATTGCACCAGGACAAACCACAAATGTGCTACTCAAGACCAAACCTCACTTCCCCAATGCCACCTTCTTCATGACTGCTAGACCTTATGTGACAGGCCAAGGCACTTTTGATAACTCAACAGTTGCTGGTATTTTAGAATATGAGTTTCCACCGAATACCATTCACTCAGGAGTCTCAACTAAGAATCTTGCTCTTTTCAAACCAGTTCTTCCTCCTCTAAATGACACCTCTTTCGCTACAAATTTTACAAATAAACTCCGTAGCTTGGCAAGTAAAGAATTCCCTGCCAATGTGCCCCAAAAGGTTGATAGGCGATTTTTCTTCACAGTTGGCCTTGGAACTAATCCTTGCCAACACAACAATACCTGCCAGGGGCCTAATGGAACCAAGTTTGCAGCCTCTATTAACAACATCTCGTTTTCAATGCCAACAACAGCTCTTCTTCAAGCTCACTTCTTTGGACAATCAAATGGGGTTTACAGCGCTAATTTTCCTAGCGCTCCCATTATTCCTTTTAATTATACAGGAACTCCACCCAATAACACAATGGTTAGCAATGGAACAAAGCTGGTGGTGCTCCCTTTCAACACTAGTGTGGAGCTAGTGATGCAGGACACAAGCATACTCGGGGCAGAGAGTCACCCACTTCACTTGCATGGCTTCAATTTCTTTGTTGTTGGTCAAGGTTTTGGGAATTTTGATGCAAATAAGGATCCTGCAACCTTCAACCTGGTTGACCCTGTTGAAAGGAACACCGTTGGCGTACCTTCAGGTGGTTGGGTAGCAATTCGGTTTCTGGCAGACAACCCAGGTTAGTATTAGCAAGCAGAAAAATGAATTCCAACAGGGAATGTATTATTGTTAAGAATTAATCAACCCAAATATTGTTTATCAAACTTTATAACGTTGTTAATAGGTGAGATACATTCTATTTGTTGAATTGATCCAATTTTTTTATGATGATTGAAATATCAACTGTGCTGACAGGGGTATGGTTCATGCATTGCCACCTGGAAGTCCACACTAGTTGGGGTCTAAAGATGGCTTGGGTTGTTTCAGATGGAAAACTCCCCAACCAGAAGATACCGCCTCCACCAAATGATCTTCCCAAGTGTTGATCACATGACTCACTTCTTTATACACGCTGATATTGATTCTCTGGCAATTTTTTTTCCCTCATTTCAAATTTCCCGATTTTATTTTTGGTTCTTTTGTTGTTCCAGAGGAAAAAGAGGGAGGACTCTTTTTTGTAACACCCAGATTCTTGTAAGGTCAATACGAAAGGTCTTAATAATACTGTCAAAAAAAATTAACCTAAACATTACTCTTTGATGCCTTTCATCTTTCTGGTGCATATTTTACTGCATATCAGAGACAAACTCTTTTGATGGTATTTTACATCTATTGCTGATAATATATGTGTGTGTATATATTTACATGGGGAAGGATGGTTTTGTTACCCCAATAATCAGACACAACCAGAAACTTGTTTATGTTTGAAACATCATGATCAAGTCCCTGAAATGCTTAATAGAAATGGTGAATGATTAATAGAAATGGTGCCAAAGTTTCAAGTAGGTAATTTAACACGCACAGAATGGATATATTAAAAAAAGAAAAAGAAAAAACTCCATGGCCATGAGTTAATAAGAGTGTGTTAAGGAAGCAAAAACTCCATCACCATGACTTATACAATGAGATGAAGAAGGTGTACCTGGCAAGTGTGGGCTCGGGCATTTCATCGAACAGAGAGAATGCCCTCTGGAATCCTCCTCCACCTCTTAGGCTACAGAAGCTGCTACAGCAACTCAATGCAGGGGATGAATAGATTTCCTTAATGCTTCACTGATTTATACAACGAGATGAAGAGGGTTTAGTAGGAAATTATTGGGTCAGGCATTTCATAGAGCAGAGAGAATGCATTATGGAGTATTCCTCCGTCTGTTTGGCCATAGAAGCTGCCATACAACCTCCATGAAGGAGACAAATGAAGTTCGCTTTTCCACTGATTCATACAGCGAGACGAAGGTTTACCAGGAAAGCTGAGACAGGCATTTCATCGAACAGAGAAGTTACATTCTGGAGTCCTCCGCAAGCGAAGGATTAATGGAGGTCATGCCTGGATGAATATCTATCTCTTCAGGTCGCTGTTGAGGAGTGCATATGGCTGATACGTTATAATTTGTTGAGAAGAAGTCCAATTTGGATTAGGCACTGTGTGAGTAAGTTCTATATTATTGATGAGATTTAAACTCGTGATCTTCAAATAAAGTAAAAGAATTTTAACTATAAAACTAACTTTTTGATGATAATATGGGAACTAAACTAAATAATTGAATAGGAAATAAGCTAAATCAAAACCTACAACCGTATTGAAGCTGTTTCACAGGCACATATGCATGTGGGTATATACATATATGATATATATATATATATATAATCCTTTCTAATCAAAAAGATAATCTGATAGGATCAAAGGACCTCTCTTCCATGCTTTATCAGAAATTACAGTGCTGATTAACTCCATACCCCATTAGGATCATAGACATATATATGGTAAAGTTGCTTTCAGATATTGAGAGCTAATATGTCCACCAATGTTACTAAATATAGTGAAAGGGTAACCAATGACAATCGTGTTCAAAGTTATATCTAAAAAAAAAGACCATAAACGACAAAGACTGAACATTTTCCCCCTTTTCTATCACAATTTTCACTTGGTAGACTTGCCAATAATGAAAGTGAATCTTCGGAAATCAGTTTTTTTATTTTATTTGAAAAGATGGGATTATGAAAGTCATAAGAACCCACTTTCAACTATTTTACATTTACTTTGATAATAAATAATTGAACTTAGCTCATCCATTTATTCATAATATTTCTAAATATTTTGATATTAAATTTAATTTTACTAATAAATAAAATATTGAGTGTTTATTTTTGTTGATATGGCATGCCTCATAACAATAAACTAAGAATACAAGTAATTGAGTTAAGTAAAGTCCTTAAGTGAATTGTATTGACTGTTATCTCAATCCTGCACTATAATCAACCGAAATAAATAAATCTATATGTATGTTTATATACATACATATATGTTGATAAGCTCTTTCTTCCTGTTTGCTTGAGTAAAAATTGCTTCCACAGTAAAGCTACGGTGACCTGTTGATGTTGACAATCTGCTCTTCTTCACAGACATACATATACACAGACACAAATATAGTATAGATGTGTTTATACAGATCAACAGAAGGAACATTATTATATGGCTAATACATCAATCTCTCATTTCTTTCCTTTTTGCTGCCCTTTTTTTTTTTCAATTAAACAATATGGTGGAGGGATTACTAGAAGTGATAAGAAGTTAAATCATGAAACTAGTTTACAATAAGGCCTAAGTTTGACTTGAAAAGAAAGGGGGTCAAACAACTAAAATTGATTATCTTTGAAATCACTCAAAAGTTGTTCTGCACTACCAAACAGGTCAAATCAAAGTAGCTATATTAACCCAATTCTAATTTTCTCTCTACAAGTTATATAAATTCTATCACCTAAGCAAAACCCAGACACGCCTCATCCATCTCTATATATTACACTACATTGTACGCTTTTGCAGTATATGTGCAGAAAAAGAAGTTCTTCATAGTGCCAAAGTAATCAAAAATCCTTGAGCTTAATAAATATAAGAAAGAAAACATACAGGGAGGTGAAAAATGGGAGCTTCTCTTAGTCCACAAAAAGCATTCTTCGGAGCTTGTCTACTCTCATTCATCAGCATATGCAGTCTTCTTCCGAACCCAGCACTTGGCATCACAAGGCATTACAAGTTTGATGTATGTATCATACTATATATATATATATATATACACTACATATATAGTATCACCAACTTGCTTTGCTTTGTATTGTTTTGACATTGTTTGAGATTTTTTCATTGTAGATCAAATTGCAAAATGTGACACGTCTCTGCCACACCAAGAATCTTGTATCAGTAAATGGCAAGTTCCCAGGACCTCGGATTGTAGCAAGGGAGGGTGATCGTCTACTTATTAAAGTTGTTAACCATGTCCCAAATAATATCTCCATCCACTGGTAAATCGACCTGCTTGAGATCACTTAGTTATATCTAATCTTCCTCTGCAGAATTATTATTTTCTAAAAGAAAATTCTCTGAAACAGGCATGGGATTCGACAGCTTCGGACAGGGTGGGCTGATGGACCAGCTTATGTGACTCAATGCCCCATACAAACTGGCCAGAGTTATGTGTATAACTACACCATTGTTGGCCAACGGGGCACTCTCTTCTGGCATGCTCACATTTCATGGCTAAGATCAACTCTCTATGGTCCCATAATTATCCTTCCCAAGCATGGTGTTCCTTACCCATTTACCAAACCTCACAAGGAAGTTCCTATAATTTTTGGTATAGTTCAGAACCAAAAAGGACTTGAATTTCCAATCATTTTAAGCTTACATGGTACAGAGAACATCAAGTGCTAATATACAACACAAATTTGAATTTCAGGAGAGTGGTTCAATGCAGATCCTGAGGCAATCATTAACCAGGCACTCCAAACAGGCGGAGGCCCAAATGTTTCTGATGCCTATACCATCAATGGACTACCAGGACCTTTGTACAACTGCTCTGCTAAAGGTATAGAAAATTAAGCAAAACTATCATCATGACAGTTCAATATTAGATTTGAAATTGAACAAATGGTCTCTACAAAGACCAGAAAGTTCATTTGATCTTATTTTGTGCTGATGGATATGGCAGATACATTTAAGCTGAAGGTAAAACATGGCAAGACATACCTTCTATGCCTGATCAATGCTGCACTTAACGATGAGCTCTTCTTCAGCATTGCAAATCACACGCTAACAGTTGTTGAAG